GGCATGCCTTGTGGACACCTAATAAAAATTCTCAGATTGATATTATGATATTAGGTCTGGAGTTGGCATAGGTATTAAGGATGATTAGTACTAAAAACTCCAGAGAAGTCTTATAAATGAGCTAAGTAGCTAATAATTAATGGTGACACAATTGAACTGAATCAAATTATCTAAGCCCAAAATGTGGGATGGAATAAACTATTCATACATAGGTAATTAGGCTACTAATAATAGTAAGTAAAGACTGCAAAAATAACAAGTGTTGTTACAACCTAGATGATGTTTGAAGAGACTCTGAAATGCGTGTGTTATGCCACTTGTTCTAGAATGAACATAATTTCGCTATCAGGGCCAATATGTTTTAAGATATCTCACCAGAATTCTTTAGCATCAATCACATTGATAAGGCGTGATAGTGTTTAACAAGAGCCTTAAATGAGAATGCTAAAGTTAACGTGGGCGAAACAGTTTATACGATGCTCATGAAAATTGAGTGCTCCTATAAGCCACTTGTAAATAGCCAGATTATCTGTAGAAATGCTGAAAAATATTTTAAATTTAATTAAAACGTGACAAGCAAATGAGCAGAGATGAAATCATAGAGGAAACATTTTGGAGCCATGCTCCTAGAACACACAAGATGACCAAGGGTGAGGAATATCATAAAATTGAACATAAATCTCAAAAGAATTGGAAAATATGAGGAAGGCTCTTGCCTTGTCTCGGAGTTCGTCCCGTTCAAGTTTATATGTTTCAGAATCAGCATTAATTCTTCGATTTTCTTCAATAAGACGCTGATGAGATACTCGGGCTGCATTCATCTCAGCTTCTATTTCAGTGACCTTAAGACGGAGATGATCGCATTCCTCACGCATAACAATTAATGCCTCGTCGCTAAGATTCGGCCCACTATCCATAGGCTCAAGAGGTCCTGTGGAGTTGGGATCAGCTGCTGAAAGAACAGAAATTAAAATTAAAAGCAAGGCAATTCGATTTAATTAAATTTAAACAGAGATTTGTGTGAGTGAGGCCCGTGAAATCTAAAATAAAGCGCGAGATGAAAAAAATATAAATGCATTCCCTTATTTATTAGAAGTATGAATGCTAATTTAC